ATATTCAGCACCCGGAAAAGATGAGGGTGCTTCTGAACTCTTACATACATGAATGAGGAAAAACACATGGTTTCTGCCTTCACACCGAGAGACCGTGTATCACTGGGCTAGATGTCTGGGGAGGTGGCTGATCCCTGCTTGGTGCTCCTGCACACATCTCCTGGGCTTTCTGGAAGGAGCTGTGCATTGTCACAACGGAAAATTGAGGGAGCGCCATCAGACACTTTCCAATTTCAGATTAATCACAGTACAGTCCACCAGGCATTTAACTTCCAGGATCCTGTCACCCGATTCGTACAAGCAACATAAACGTTCCCGACTTTATTCTCTCTGAAGTAGAGGACAAATTTATCTTCGTTAGACAATAATTGGTTGTATTATCTTTTGACTCTTCAGAAATTCTGGTTGGCGAGTTTGAAAGTTTTTTCATCAGTCTTGTTTGGGACTGTTTTTTCACTCCACAAACTGCACACAAGACAGAAAAAGCAGAGGTGCTGACGTCTGCGGAGCGCACGGCATCTGACTGAGGACACACAGGCCTCAAGACCATCCAGCTTCTTAGCAAACTGCCTGGTTCCTGCTGGAGCTGCTCTGTGGCCTCTCGGATGCTGGTGTCTGTACTCTGGTCCCAAACACCAGAAGCCAACACCAAGAACAGACGGGAAACACACAATTCTGGGACTTTGTGCTGATTTATCAAGAACTGTGATCTTCGGGGGCTTTCAGAGCAGAACTTCAAGTGAGCAAATGCATAATTGGGTGCCATTTAACATTTAGCTAAATCCAATATGTCAACAGTAAGGTTCTCCTAAGAATGAAAATCAGGCCATTCCCTCGACCGCTGCAGTTTTCACATTTTTAACCTGGTGCCAATGGAAAGCAAAGAATATAGACGAGGGTGGCATGCAGGTTTTTGGCCAAGATTTAAAATAAATCCATTTCATCAGCCTCATTCCATTTCACCTCTCACACATTTCATTACTGGTGCCAGTGGAAAGCTGAAAGTCTACGAGAGGACACAAAGCAAGTCAGGTAACTGGAATATTTATGAGCTGATTCCAATGCACCTCTTTGGTTGGAAGAGAGATTGAAATTATTGCAAAATAATTGTGCGTGTTCTGATTATTTAGTATTGTGGACTCACATTAGTACGAGCTCCTTGTCTTGGGTTGCTTTTCTGTCGGCCTTTCTAGAAGAGTGGGCAGGAGCCTGCCAGGGACAGAACACTCTGTGAGGTGAGCATCATGTTAAACAGAGTATCTGTGGAAATTCTCCCCTTTTCCTAACACACTGAGGCCATATCTTTGTTCTCACTCTCAGTTTCATCCCCTGACCTAGTTCCAGGGAGCTCTGGTGTCAGACTGCACAGGAAGTCGAGCTGCTAATTCAAAGGCTGTGCCTCTCAGGTAGTTCAAATCCACCAGTGGCTCCAAGAAAGAAAGACAGCGAATCCTTTCCCTTGTGATTTACAGTCTTGGGAACCTGCCGGAAGGACAGCTCTGAGCTTGTTCCAATTCCACGGCAGGCAATGAGTTGGAGTTTCCTGTTGACCTGTTTTTGTTCTGGCTTTTATACTGCAACTGAACCCAGGGTGGAACCTACTCAACAGAAGTGGGTTCTAGGTGTAAAATTTCGAAATCTTTAAAACCTTCACAGTGTATTTGATAACAGAGGAGCCCTGATGACACAGCAGGTTAAACACTGGATTGCTAACCAAAAGGTTAGTGGTTTGACTCTCCCAACTGCTCTGTGGAGACAGACCAGGCAGGCTGCGTCCCCACAGATAAGCAACAGCGGCAACCCCACGAGGAAGCTCTGCCCTGTGTCGCACCGCAGCAAAGAGCCAGACTCGACACTATGGCAAAGGGTTATCCGAGAAGGCAATTTTCACTGTTCATTACCACTTTTGAAAAAAGAAAAGTCTTGATAAACTGGTTCATGTCTAGTTTGTCCCTGAATAAAGGGGTCTCCGGTATAGACAGTGATTGTAACAATGAGCTCAACTATCATGCGGATGGCACAGGATAGGACAGGGTTCAGATCCATTCACAGTGTCAGTATGGGGCGTCCTTGACTCGATGACATTAACAATAAGCCTAGTTTGTAGGAAGCTGTGCTGTTACCCTAAGACCGCACCTCTCTGCCAGTTCTAGCAACTCTGTGGGAGAAAACAGGCAGCCTTGTCTGATTTGACTGATGGTCTCAAAATCCAATGCAGGGTCAGCTTGGAGGAGATTTCAACCTGACAGTGGCAAGTTGAATGAGCTTGTTTAGGGGACCCTGTAATTAGTCAAAGAGCCTAACTACCCACAGAATCTCCCACAAGAACAGCCAAACCCACGCTCACTGTAGAGTCTGGAGGGCAGGACTCATTCCCGAGGGGAAGGACGTAGGACAACACAGAGTCCAGAAGAAACGCATGGTGCCTGTCATTACCAACCACCAGGATCAGAGTCACAGTAGATGTTCTCAGACAGGAATAAAAAATGTAGCATAAAATGGAAAACCATAACAAAGAGCGGACTAACTAACCTGTCTGACTGAGGCTGTGGAACCCCTGAGATTGTGGTTCTCAGACACCCCTCAAGAATGAACTGAAGCCGCCCGAGAGATCAGCTTTCAGCCAGACAACGAGAAGGACTGTAGAGTGAACGGTACCAGGAGGAACGCACTGCTCAGCGCGGTCAGCCCCAGGGGCTGGGACGTCAGCTCTGCCCACAGACAAGCTCAGAGGGCAGAAGGTGCAGGAAAGGAGGACGCATGAAGGCAGAGAACCAGGGAGGGAGTGGGGCCAGTGCTGTCCCCGTGAGGAGATGGCAGCCAAGCTCATCCCACACAACGGGGATAAGCTGTTGAATGGAAAACGGATTTGCTCCGAAATGTTTCACAAAATCCACACTAGCATAAGCAGTAAATGACAGCGCAAATGTCCAACCACAATGGGATGAACTGAGAAATTCTGGTACATTCACACAATGGAATACTTACTATGCAGCATGCAGGAGCAGTGAGGAGCAGTGAACTACTACCTAACACTGGAGAGACTGGAGAGCATTATGCCGAGGCAGTCTCAGAAGGACAAATACTCTCTAAAACCATTACTGTAGAACGAGTATGAGGGTCCAAGGAGGGGAGGGTGCTTAATCATAGGGTCACACAGTTTGAAGGGTGGAGGGAGGGATGGGTGCATGAAAGGGGAAAGATGCAGTGTGGAGAACAGTATATATGAACATTATGAACTTTGTATATAAACCAGTATAAAATATTTTGAAAGGGAAAATGAAAAAAGAACATCAGCTGCTTTGTCAAGAGAACTTTGCAGACGGGCACGTGAGAGTGTGTTAGGTTAGATCCCACCGTCTTCTGGCTGCGACATTTGCCAGAAACATCCTCTCAAATGAATTCTGCTAGATCCCAGGGAATTGTATCCCTCAAGGACAATGTGAAGCAAGTATTATGAACACTGACGCCTTTGAGTTGGAGTTCTGGAGAACAGCACAACTACACCAGGGACTGCAAAAAGCACAAACAAACCTGTCTTGGAAAAAGAGAAGCCAGAATGTGCTGTACAGACAAGGATGGGGAAGCTGCTGCTTCCGTTCTTTGGACTTGTTATCAGGAGGGGTCAGGCCCTGGAGGTAAAGTAGAGCGTCAGTGAAAGAGAAAACCCACCAACCAAATGCACTAATGCAGAGGCTGCAACAAGGAGGTCAAGGAGCAAGAACTGACAACGGTGCAGGACTGAGAGTGGGCAGGACCGTGACAGGGGGCAGGACTGTGTCAGAGGGCAGGACCGTGTCAGTGGGACAGGCCCATTACAGTGGGCAGGACCGTGTCGGTGGGCAGTGTCCTGTTCTGTTTCACATGGTGTTTCTACATGTCAGAACCTCTTGAGGGCACCTAACAGCAGCCCTAAGCAGAAACAAAGCCTTTCCAATAATTGGAAGCGACAAATCATTCCACAGCAGTTTCTGGAAGGTGTTGTATAAAAGGATAGAACCAGCTATTATCCAGGAAAACCCCTGTAGTTCCCTTTTGCGTAAATGCTTGTAACCTTTAGAGACCTGTTGTCCACCAGGACCATTCCTCAAGGGAGTTTCCCCTCACCTCTTCTCACTGTGAACTTCTCACTGTGGCACCGAGGGGACATGGCTTCTGACACACACAGAGTGACAGGCCCTCTGACTCACACACTAAGTGACAGGCCTTTTGACACTCACTCAGGTCACAGGCCCTCTGACACACACACACTCGGGTCATAGGCCCTGTGACAAGCACACACTCGGGTCACAGGTCCTCTGGCACGCCCCTTGGGTGATGGCCCCTAACATACACACTCTGATCTGACCCCTTTCCGGTCCTTACTCTTGGCTTGTCCTCCCTCCTCCAGCACAGAACTCTTGCTGGTAGAGTTTCTGAAACCTACTTTCAAAGGCCAAAGAGTTAAAACTAAATCACCTCAAACAAAAATATCCTTAAATGACTCCTGCAGATATTTTTCCTGATCCAGATTTTTCAGTAAATCATGCAGAAAATAAATTATCAGCTGTTTACGAAACAATGCTTATTTTAATGCAAATATGTGTGTGTATGTGTGTGTCTATCTTTTAGCAATGATTTTATTTTTAGCTTAAAGGGCATAACATATGTCTACTCTAGTTACAAACACTTGGGACACAATTTTCATCAGTCAGCGTCGTCTTTGCCATTGCTAATATATATTAACAGTACCCACAGCAAACTCTCCTCTTCTGATCTCCACAACAAATGGGAACTTGCATTCTGGAATTACAGCCCTATTTGTGATTTTAGCAAATCATTTCCAAGAAAGGAGCAGCTCTGAGCTCTCTCCATCAAAGACTGGCAATGGGTCAAGATTCCACCATAACTTCTACCCAGAGAGAGAAGACTTAATGTAAAATACCCTCACCAGACTCTACTTATTAATTAGATGGAGATTTCATTGCTTTCGAACGATCGCATGGCCGCTCAACACTCACGTGCTACACTCAGATGGACGAAGGGGCTGGTCTTGTTTTCGCCGTTCCTCTCGTTGACGGCCTGGACGTAGTACGCACCCGCATCGTCTGGCCCTGCGGCCAGGATGACCAGCTGGTTCTCCAGCGTGATGGCTCTGTTCAGAAAAGCAGAGAACAGCGTCAAATATCTGGGCGGACCTTCCGCGAGGTAAGACAGAGGCAACTGTGGTCAATTGTACAAGGAAGTCCAGAGATGAAAGCAGCACAGATCTGAAAGGACAAACAGCCAGGCAGGACAGAGGCATGGCAGGTGGAGGCAGGTGTGCTGGCTCTGCTGAAACGCTGAGCTAGGCCTTCCATGCCCGTGCTCACCTGAGGTGAAAGGCAGGATCGGGAAAATGTTCCTCTGGAAATGTGCCCTCTGAGAATTCCTAACAAGTCAGAATGCACCCCAGAACTTCCTCTTTTCTCCCAGGCAGGGGTAAAAAATGGTCCCAAACTTGTCCTGTACTGGACTAGGCTACCTTAGTCTGCAGAGGGGAGTGAACATTTTATCCTGGTTTTCTTCATCTTGGGGAACTGCATTAGAACCTCAGCAGAGACTCTGGAGACTCGTGGGAACTCCCAGTGAAGGGAGAAAAGACTGAAGTCGCGCGGATCCATCTCCCTGGGAACCACAAGCAATGCCCGAGGGAACCACAGCCAAGGGCCCAAACTGCCTGTGGTGTCGACCCCCGGAAGTTCTGCAAGGCCCACAGGGAAGTGAGGAGGAGCTGGGCCTGAGCCAGCAGGGCATCCCCAGTCACCTCAGACGCACGGACCTCTGCTGGTCTACAGGGTAACAGATGCACTGCCAACCCCAAGTCAGGCAGTTCAAATCCACTGGCTGCCCCAAGACAGACAGATGTGCAGTCTCCTCCCCTGAGATTTACAGCCTCTGAAGACCCAGAGCAGGGCCAACAGCAGTAATGAGCGCGTGAGTCGTATGCGTCAGTAAGCTAGATAATGGATAAAGAATATAAAAGAACTTGCTGTCTTTGAATGTGAGTTGCTGGTGCCGGTATAGCAGACTTAACACATCACACGCCGCAAGGAGAAACAGAGCTGCCTTACGAGAAGTACAGAGAGCTCTTTAGATCCGAGGATGGCTATGTTACCAGGAGGGTCCAGCCCTTCAAGGAGGACATCGTGCTTGGTAATATAGAGGGTCAGAGAAACAGAGGAAGCCCCTCAGTGAGGAGGACTGACGTAGGGCTGAAATGATGCACTCAGACACAGCAAACACCGAGGAGATGCCATGGAGAAGGCGCGGTTTGTTCTGTTGTGCACAAAGTTCTCTGAGTGAGGGTCGATTAGACAGCACCTAAAAACAACAGATCCACAAGTAGACATTTCCCACTGGGCACCTTTATGGCCTCTTCAATTCTCCCACGATCTTACCCCTGGACTGCATGTGCCTCAATTTTTCAACACTCCCCTTCCTTCCTTGGAGGCCAAATACAGCTAAATGAATAAACAATCTTCATGACGTTGCTCCCAAGTGCTAAAAAGGAATCCCAGAGACACAAGTGACTCACTTTAAAAGTGAGAAAACCAAGGCTCAGTTGCTTGTGCAGGGTAGTACAGCAAGTTAGCACCAGAAGTGGGTGGTTCTCAGACTAGATTAGAACTCTGCTGATCCTGGCACTCATGTAAAAAGAGGAGGTGGAGAGAGAGGAGGAAGACAACTTGCTTAATGGTAGGAGGTTTTTCATGGAAATGTGTGTCCTGCCTTTAAACCTAACCTCTTTAAAATGCAATAGGATGTTACTTTAAAGACTAAGGTGTATCTCCCCAAAGCCTGTTTCATGAGCATGGGGAAGCTGGACAGTGAATAGGTGCCTGTGAATTGTGGTGCAGGAAAAAAAACACTGAATATGCCACAGACGACCCCAAATTCCCCAAACCAATCCGACTGAAGAAGTGCAGAGTGCGTCCTGGAAGCCAGATGGTAGAGCTTCATCGCACATACACTGGGTATGTTACCAGTGGGGCCAGTGCCTGGAGAAGGACATCATGCTGAGAAAAGCAGAGGGTCAGAAGGAGGAGAAAGATCCTCAGGCAGCTGGCTGGCCACAGTGACACAGTGGCTGAAGCACTGCAGACAATGTCAGGCTGACACAGGACCCTGCAGGGCTTCGTTCTGTCGTACTTGGGCAGGGTCTCTGTGAGCACAAGAGAGGTTCCTCTCTGTCCACTCGATGACACCTGACGACAGTCTTGAAGAAGGTGCAGCCAGAGTGCTCCTTGGAGGTGAGGATGGAGACGCTTTGTCTCACAGACTTTGGGCAGGTGCGAGGAGAGGCTGTTCTTGGAGGAGAGACATGATGCTGGGAATGGCAGAGGGTCAGCCAGAGAGGATGACCCTCAATGAGGTGGACTGACACAGTGGCGGCAGCAATGGGCTCCAGTGTGTCAGAGATGACGGGGACGGCACAGAACAGGACATGGTGCAGATCTCTTGTTCACAGGCTGGAGTCACATTCAACTTGATGGCACTTAATAACAACTTGATGGTGTAGGAAGGGGGACTTTGTTAGAGAGGAAGAAGATACAAAGGTGTGTAAACCATTCTCTGGGCGAGCAGGGCACTGCGGGTTGGAAGTGTTCTGAGCACTGGACTATTCTTTAGTCTGTCTTCTCTACAAATCAGTGCAAGGATGCTGGTCCCCATTGTGAGCAGTGTTCCAACTCTGATATGCTGCTGAGTAGCTGTTTTTGCTTTTCCCTTTAATCCTGGTTAATCACAGGCCTGCCAGATGTACACAAGATCTCTAGTTATAAACAGGCACATTGAGTAACTTCCCCTAAGAAATTTAGTACAATAATATGTTTTTCCTTCCTGCTACCTTTTAGAAAATTTTCCAAATACTCTTGATATGTCTCCATTATATAACATCATCTTAAGAAGTTCCAGTTTATGCAGGCTTCCCATAAGACATAGATTACAGTTGGAGGTCTCTATGACTAATTTACCTCATTTCTCATTAGCAAAAATTTCCCTATTAGGAAGTTTTCAATTTTTTACTCCCATAAAAATACTTTTACTATAATTATTTATGACTCTTTTATAGAACCATAGAAATGGTTCCATTTTATTTTAGTATGTTACACTGGCACTTAAAATTAAATATGAATATTTACTACACACGAAGTTAGACATTTAATGGCACAATTTCCAAAACTGAATATATCATTAACTTGTTACTTTAATAGCTAATTTTTGCCATAGTAATTTCAATATACTTATTATTTTTCAGAATTCTTTTTCAAAAATGACCATTCATTTCTATATTATTTATGATATTATTCCAAAGGAACTGAAAATAGAGAAATCAAATAGAAAGCAAATATTAAAACTTAAGCCAAAAATTCAAGGCTATATTGCCTTTGAGTTAATTCTAACTCACAGCAAGGCCACAGGGCAGAGGGGAACGGGCCCCTTCAGGCTTCCGGGGCCGGAAGTGTTCACAGAGGCACAGTGACTCGTCTTTCTGACTTAGGTGGGTTCAAGCGCCGACTTTTCTATTAGAAGACAAGCTCTTAAATCACTGAGCCACTATTTAAAAAAAAACAAACCACAAAAAACCAAAGCATCCCTCAGAAAGGGAGCTCTGGTGGCTTAGTGGGTGTAAGGGGTTGTGCTGCCAACACAGAGGCAGGCAGTTCAAATCCACCAAATGCTCTGTGGAGAAAGATGGGCAGTCTCCTCCCATGAGATTTAAAGCTTCTGAAAAGCCACTGGAGAATCAGCATTGAGAAGGTATTTGTTTTGTTTTGTTCTGTTTTTTCACTTAATTGAGCCATAGGTCTGTCTTGGAGAGGGTGAAACCAGGTTTCCCTTGGAGCCTAGGATTTTGAAGCTTCATTTCACATACTTTGGGCACATGGCCAGGAGAAGGACATCATGCTCGGAAAGGTGGAGGGACAGGGCAGGAAAATAAAGACCCCGAAGAGATGGATTGATACAGTAACTGGGGTAATGGGAGTACGTGTGTCAGAATCAGTGAGACTGGCTCAGGACAGAGCTGGCTTCAGAGCAGCTGTACATAGGGTTGCAGGCAATTCGACAGCACATAACAAAAACAAGGTTCCTTATTAAATTTTATTATTTTAAAATGTATCTATTATTAAATTTTATGTGCATTATTTGCATATTTTTTATTTGAAAAATTTTATTTTTAAATATAAGTATTTGCAAAAATTTTAATTTATATACAGGCTAATGTTAAAGTTCATGTAAAAAAATTACAAAATTCCTAAACTTGGGAGCACAATTAAATAAGGATAAATATTCTGTACTACTTTATTTGCTTTTCCTATCCAAGTCTTTTTGAATAAAGAGTTTCTATGAAATAAATGTATTTTTTAATTAAAACATTAACTAAAAGATCATAGTACACCAACTGCCACTGACTCAATTCAGAATCCTGGGGACCCTATAGACCTGCACCTGACCACTAGGGTTTCCAAGGCTGGAAGCGTCACAGAGCAGGTTCTCCATCTTCCCCTGAGGTGCCTGAGGGTTCAGACCATCTGTCTTAATCTCCTCGGCACTTACATCACTGGACACCAAGACTCTTTGTCTAAAACCATCTGCATTTCAAGTTCTAATATATTCTGTGCTGTCTGGACAGCTTCTAATGACAGTGCAGCAGGGGCCTGTCCACGTCCACGTTCCCCTAACACCCTTTCCTCTGACTCACCCTGCCCTCCCGGCTGTGTAAGGAGGACCAGGTATGGAGTTGACCAGTATGGGGTGACAGAGGCATCCGGCCTTCTTGCTAGTGTACAGTATTTAATAAAATGGGAACTGGCTTGGGATGCATGTGGGTCCAGTTTGACCAAGGGGAAGGGACATGATCAAGCGGGGAGATTTATTTTAATCCCTATGAGAGGCTGGCCAGGATGTGCACTCTCTTAGGGGTCACTGTGGGCACTGTGGCAGCCTGTGGTGAAGGGTGTTTGCGTACAAAGGTAAGGGGGGGCGGAAGTAGGGCAGACTTTAGAGCAGAGGTGATGATGAGAAAGGCACTTCACTAGCCCTGTCATAGGACTCTGCTGTAACTTCACAACATGTCCAGTGAAAAAGGGTGGGGAGGTTGGAGGTGCCTCT